CAGATAGTGTGATAAACCGGTTTGCGGGGGATGGAATACCCGGTCATGTAGATGGTAAAGCTGGCAACAGCCGGTTCAGCAAGCCCCGTGGTTTTGCCGTGGATGCTAAAGGGAATGTCTACGTTGCTGATAAGAGTAATAAAGCTATACGCAAGATCAGCTCTTCAGGTGTTTAATCCATTTCTTGTAGCCCTTTACTTTTAATGATAGTAGTTTGTTATTCTACAATCTTGGTTCGGTCAAAGAACCACTAATTATTTCCATTATGCATCTTTTATTGACCGGACTTTGTAGGTTATGTAACCACCATTGCTGGAGGAATCTCAAAGGAATATGGACATAGAGATGGTCCTGCACAGAATGCAACTTTCTCTAACGATTTCGACATAACTTTTGTCCCTCAAAGATGTTGTTTACTTGTTTCCGATCATGGAAACGAAATGGTTCGCCAGATAAATCTTAAGGAGGAGGATTGTCTCGAAAGCTCTCATTCTAGTATGTTTTTGTACAGTAATCTTTTTGTGGATTTGATACACTATGGTTTTAGAAACTAAAACGATTCTTCTCTCGCTGTTTCAGATTTAGGGGCATACTCTCTTTGGTCAATAGGGATTGCACTTTCATGCTTTCTCGGGGTAGCCATTGGAATCGCTGTTCGCCCTTACATCATTCGTCATGTAAGTTGTTTTTGATCTATGATCGCATTTATTAAATAAACAACATATCGGATTCTCTTAACCAAATCGTTATAGACAGGAAGAAGTGAACCACCTCTCGTTGATCATGACATGGAAGCTTCTCCTAATCAAATTGGGAGAACAAGTTCAGACCTTCTTCTCCTACATTAGAAACCTAGTTGCTGGGTCAACCGGTTACTCGGTACTAAGTAGACTAGTTATGATGGTCGTATCTCACCTTTCCCTCATGTGTTCCGCAGTAAATAGATTAATAAGTTCGATGGTATCTGGCCTTTTCTTCATGTGTCAACCCAAGAGTGTAGCCATTTTAGATAAGACAGTCTCTTTCTCTGATCCTGATAGCCCAAGTTGCAGCAACCCAAAGCCTCCACTTTCACTGAAACCCTCTGGTGATTTGGTGGACCTGATAAGCTTTGATGATGCACAAGAACCTAACAATGACAAAGAGTGCAATAATGAAGAGACAGACGCTGCTTTGTCTCTTCCTCGTACAACCATAGATGACATTATAAAGGTTCAGGTTGAAGGATTTTCAAAGATGGCGGAGGAAAACGCTGCAGCTCGTGGTTCTTCCTCAGCTGAGTAGATTTCGGTTAGCAGGGCTTGAAAGCCGAGGAAGTTTGTATCTTTCGTAAATTTTGTGTTCTACATTCAAAGTTTGGTTAAGTTGCAGAAACTTTTTTATTTTATTTTATCGACGAGCTTATCTTTTTCTTTATACTGCGTAATAATAACGAAAATTTGCTACTTTTCTTACAAGACGGATCTAAATAAATCCCAAATATTTTCTTCTCAACAAGTCTCTCAAAACCCCATATACCCGAATTCCCAATTGCTACTAAACTTTTCATGTATATGAATAGTATCCATATGGGTAACTCACATATTGGGGAGCTCTGTAGTGGATATTCTGATGAGTAGTAGCATTCATCGGATCTCCGAACTCCGTAGTCTTAGCAGTAGCTGCTGCTGCCTCACGCCTGCGGTCTTGCTCCTGGCCTGGCCCAAACACAAGCTTGTTAGTCTTCTCGCTGCTCCGCTCATAAAGAGTGTGCGGGATTGTTGAGTGATGC